TATTCAATAAACATGACGCATAAGTAAATAGTTTACCTCGGCATAATATAAATCATGTGTCTCATCGGTTATTTCAATTTAACATTATGACTAGGTAGACCATACAAGTACTGTATTTATAACAAACGCAGTTGTTTATACGCATGTAGGATTGATATCGTAATGTCAATAAAATACTTTTATAAGGTCGTTACCTGATAGTCTTTATTATTCCGATCTGACATAAATTCCTATCTGACATGCAACACGTGTTTATGAAGAATTGAATAATAATCCTGACGTCAAAGTTTCCTGCAAAATCGATGGCAGATTGATTTGCTAACCGCCGATTTGGGAAGCAGTTTACACTTTAACCAGCGACTGAGGTAAACTCGTTAGGGAAATAGCAAAATATTTCCTAGAATTCGAAGAGTTATTCTAATTAAGAACAAATAAAGATTCGAATGATCTAAATGCTAAAGATAATATTCACCAAGGAAATTATGGTCGTTTATATATCTAACTATAGATTTACTAAACTGGTGATAATTTTGATATATAGGGAAATATTAACTGCGGCGACCGATTTTCAACATCTATTCATGAGTGGCGATAAATTCCCAATTTATGTAACTGGCAAAATATGAGCGGCTTTAAATGTTCGTTGTGCAACTTGAATTCTGACTGAGCGGGAATCAAAGTTTTAGACTTGTACTTGACAGCAGTAAACAGTTTTATTACAAGAAGATGTATAAAAATTTTACAATACCAATGATGTTGCAGATAACTTGTAGGTCAAATTCAATAAAAATTGTGAAATTGACATAATTTTTTGTTAATTAAGTTAGCTGTAGTTCAATGAGAAAGTGTTCCAAGGTGGAAAGTTGGAAAAGTTTAAAATACCCATGATCAATTTAGCTCAGTAATACAAAAATTAAATTAGTAACGGTACAAAGTTCTCTAAATTTGAGTTGAATAAATCTTATTATTTACTGTTAAATAACTGTTGAAACAATATTTTATCCATGGTTTGATTTTATTATTCAAACTTCGCTGATTTCGGCTCGACGTAACACTACGACTCTTTGATGCTTGTCGAAATGTGATTAATATTTATCAGATCGCATTAAACCTCGTGTTTATCGTCAAAGTGAATCGCCAACGCTCATTTCTTTTATTAAATCCTTTATAAAAGTCATGCTATTTTGATAACACCACTTGTCTTTAAAAGAGAACGGGTCTTTCGGTCGACTCGGGATAAAAGTCTCCTAGTACTAGTGACTATTATTTCTCGCGGCAAACAATTAGCAACTTACTCGACTAGTACGTGGTTTCAGTGAAGAAATGTTGGCTATTGGTTATGGCTATATTAATATAGACAGCACGATGAAATCTGTACGGCGGAAACGACAAATCATGCGGTTTATGCTTACTTCAGTATTCACTAATCACTGAAGAAGTAGCTCGAACACAGGTAACTCACTCCCGAAATATATGACTTTGCTCCATTAGTCAAGATACATGTCGATAAATATCTTCCGCTGATTGTCGTACTCTTGACTAAAGGAGAACAAGCCAAAGGTCTTTGTGACACAGGAACTCCGTCCTCCGACGTTTAAGCCTTCAATTAACAACATGACTAATATTATTCAAATAAAATTTTTTACTCTCTGCCTTTTATATTGGTTACTTTTACTTCCTCACATTAAATATACTAATGCTACATTTAGGCACATGTATAATAGCCAGATACTGACTACATCGATGATAGGAGTCCGAAATTATCTAGTTTATTAAACGCAGGGACTGTTCTTAAAAATATAAAGCAATTGTTTCATATGCAAGTATGAATAACAGAACAAACCCAAAAACAGGAAAACAAAAGAAGTGTAATCGTCACCAATGGATCTGTTGGATTCACATATAAATCAGTAAAAAAATAGTACTTAGGCATTTGCACTTCCACACACAACATGACATATTGTCCAACAGTATCAAACAACATCTATCCATGTGTGATATTAGAACAAAAGGAACTATGGTGAGTACGTAAAAAGTAAAAATCTGATAATTTACGTACTACGATATATAGATAAGTGTGTGTACAGAGATTGTAACAAATTGTAACAAATTGTGGTAACTTGTAAGAAGTTGTGGTAACTTGTAAGAAATTGTGGGAAATTGTAGCAAATTGTAGTAAACGAAGCCATGGTTTTATATACTACCCTTCATCGAGCCACTACTTCGTCATGACAACTTGTTTAAATCTACCTGAAAATTAGGTACAAAAACTGTACAAAAACTTTTGTTATTAGCTTAGTACAGGACTGTCTTCGAAGAAACGAGAGTATCCAGAACTCTATATTTTCAAATACGGGCTCTAAATTTGTTATTTCATCATCTCCACTTTTTTGATATTTATTAACCAGTCTGTAGAAATAACTGACTTTACATGTTCGAAGGTAATTAAACAATATATATATTGATATACCTCCCACCACAAAAATATATAAACTATCCTTAATTTTCTTTTTCACTTTGAGTTAAAGCTAACATTTCGCCAATGCTAGCAGCCGCCGATATCCTGCCTACAATTGATTGAGTACGCTCTTCTCTCATAACAATGTATTCGTTGCTTGTGGGCATTTGTTTAAAAATATATGAAATACATGTATTGTTGGTATTGGTACCGAGATGTTGAGAATGATTATCAATCAGACTGTTGTTCGTCGTGTCAGAATGGGGGACGGAGGGGCCACAGAGTGTCTGAAAAGATACTGGGAGCAGATAAGGACTGTGGCCGAAGAGTGTCTGAAAAGATCCCGGGAGCGGATAAGGATTGTTTGTGTGGGTTTCGACTTGGTCACAGGGTGTACTCAGCTGCCCATTCATCGTGTTAACGCTACCCGGACGGGAATAAGAAACCGGGGGATTACCTTGATTTGGTGCATAATAATAATTGCCTGTATAATTGCTGACATTTTCGTAGTTCATAATATTCATAGACGTCGTATCGACATTATCAGAAGATTGGTAAATTGGAGGGACGTCATCAAAATCAAAGTCATCCAGGTAAAATGATTGACAGACATTAGTAAATGGTCTGACATAATCGTTGGTCAAATTATTCGGTTCGCTCATTATATCAACGCTATTCGGAAAAGAAAAACAAAGAATGAAATCTTTAATGATAGAGTATTCGTAGTATATATATATATATCTGACCCGATTTGATGTACACAAAACTGATGTAAAATAAGTTGTATTTGGCGAAATGCTCATTGGTTTATGATATTTGAGCCTGTACAGTACGACTGGATACAGCCAAATACACACCAACAATAATAGTATTATAATTATATATACTTATAAAAAATTGTACTTACATCATCCAATAGGATTAGTTCATCACTAAATTTAGATTCTCGCGTAAACTTAAAACCGTAAAATGCTAATACGTAAGAAGTTAGGCTGCAACAGGTTTGTGTTGCAGAACTTCATGAACAATCGAATCTTTGAACGCAAATTACAAGTGTATGTGCAACAGGTACATGCTGATGAGCTTTCCAAGCGCACAAATAAACTCGTATATCTTAACAATTACCCAACGGAGATAAATGAAAGTGGAGTATTAAATGTAAAAATTTTAATATGAAATTCTATCCCCATTTTTTTGTAATTCTAGTTCACAACGATTTTTCATAGATCCGATTAACTTTTGTACAACATCCTGAGGAATTCTTCTACATTGTTTTTAACAATCTGCCACATATTCTCGATGGGATTCAGATCAGGGCTGTTAGATGGCCACTCCATTACATGAACGCTGTTTTGGGATAAAAAATCCTTTGTAACACGTGAAGTGTGCTTAGGATCATTATCTTGTTGCAGACGCCATCTTCTACCATACAACTGTTGGCCAAACGGAAGAAGCTGGGTTTGCAAAACATTTACATAAAAGGGACCATCCATTATGTCTGTAAAGCAAAACACTAATCTTTTAATTTACGCCCCATTTTTTCACAACACACTGTATCCTGGAATTTTTTGTACTGTTATTACTAAAATACAAACAAGATTAGAATCAAAGAAAATGTGAAGCAGCCAGAGGTTAAAGATGTCACTGCACGTCTTGCAATAATTCCGAATGCTTTCACTCGCGCTATTTCGACTCGACTATAAACCCTGCGACTTGATACTTGTCGGAACGCGATTAATAAATTATCAAATTCATCTCTTCTATCAAAAACTGGCATAATTTCTTTCAAACAATGCTAACTCGGTTCGAAAAACTCTCTTCTCTCTCTATCTTGTTTCAATATCCCCCTCCCATCCTCGTTCTTCGCCCACATCTCGTTCTCCAGCACTGCTCTCCAGAGATTTCAAGACAACATTCTTGAAACATTCAATACTCTCTTTTCCAACCGATAGATTCTCCTAATCTCTAATTTTAACAATTTCTCTTGCTCTTCAGCCGTTTCACCGTGGCTTCACTGTTGGATCTTAATGCTTGTTCTTTTTCGGCTCTTGAAAGGAGACCGATTTTGTTCTGTATCTGAAAGAAGGTCCGAAAGCAAAGCTGGAGCAACAAGAATGAAGATATAGTCCATAAATAACGCGCGAGTACAACACAAATTTGTGCCAGTATTGATAAACGTATAATCAACTAGCAACAATTCCCCCAAGCTTTCCCACAATAACACCCCAACTTTTCAAACCATTAGTCTCTCCGCTAAAAAGGATATCAAACGCTAAGCCATACCTTTTGTATTGATAGGATAGTGTTTAAGATCATCACTTTTATGGTTCGTTCCTTATGACAAGTGCTTTAAATAATGACTGTCAGGAAAATGACATACCGGGTGAAATGCTATGTAAAGCATATCGCGAATAATTAACTCTATGATTGCCATTGGATCTTTAGCTTGGAGTAAAGTCGCAACTACAAATTATTCGTATTGTAATTTTATCTGCACCAAGCTTTCCTGAGAAACAGGTTTGGTTGTTTAGTAATATCTATTCTCGCAATTCAATGGGTTTAGGTTGGGAGAGGGTTCGAAATTAGCTCGTATTATTACCATTATTATAGTAATGCGTTACTTAAGGCTTAACTAATCTCGTGCATATAAATATTGTTAGTGCACATCTCTATTTATAACACGAATATTCGTGCTGCAATAAGGGTACCAGTAATAATATGGTTGAATCGAGGAAATAATTAATTCTAGGGCGAATACTCGATTGCATTTGACTAGTCAATTAAATCCTACGACATGAGCGTTGTTCGTATTATTCGGCTCGTTTATTGTATAGATTTTATTAAGGAGAGGAGAGTGCAAAATTGTTGCGCTGACTGAGAACAAGTTTCCGATATAATTAATTCACTCCTCCGGGTAACAATGAAATATGACTTTTGCTCAATAAAGCAATTCTTTTAAAAGTCTTCCGACGTTTAAGCCTTCAATTAAATCTTATTCAAATAGAATCTCTTACTCTCCTATATTTATTGATTTGTTATTTCTGTGTCAAAACTCTCTGTCAATAACATTCGCTATCTGGTGTGGTTATATCGTATTACTTTTACTTCCTCACATTAAACTATATTAAGCACATTTGTAATAGGAATATTCGTCAAGCTATTGATGATAGTATAAAATCCCTAGCTCATTAAATGCAAGGCCGACTCGACTGTTCTTGGAAATATAAAGTAATCGTTTTCATCCAAAAAGTATAACAAACCGAAAAACAGGAAAAGTCGTCACCAATGGGTCTGTTGAATTCATATATAAAACAGTAAAAAAAATAGTACTTAACTTTAAGCACTTTCCACATACAACATGACAGATTATCAAGTCCTACTACTAAACCATTCATATTATTTGTTCATGTGTAATATTAGAATAATAAACTTCCCACGCAAGGAATTCCATTCAAAAAGTGATAATAGATACGTACGTACAAAGTGGATACTCAAAAGTCTCCGACCAAAATCTAAGCCAATGACTGTAATTTTCAGGTAAATCGTCATAACGAAGCTAGTATTTACACATAATGTAATCATATCAATATGTTTAATCTATATGCTACCACTTTATCGAACCATTTGCTTAGGTTTACTTCATAACTGTACAAAAACTTTTGTCATTAGATTAGTATGGGGCTCTCTTCGAAGGAACTAGAGTAACCAACACACTAAACTTTCAAATACAGTTGTTATTATTTCAGCGCCACTTTTTTTCGAATATTAATATTTATTAATTAGTCTGGAGAAATAACCGACTTTGACATGTTCAAAGTCAATTTAATAAAAACATTGATAATTACTCATATAGTATATTTGATATAATACCTTCCACCACCACCACCACCCCCCCCAAAAAAACCTTGTTATTTAATACTAAGAAAGACATGACAGATGAATATCCTTAATTTTCTTTCTCACTCCGAGTTAAAGCTAACATTTCGCCAATGCTAGCAGCAGCCGATATCCTGCCTACAATTGATTGAGTACGCTCTTCTCTCGTAACAACGTATTCGTTGCTTGTGGGTATTCGTGTAAAAATATATGAAACACATGTATTGTTTGTATTGTTGGTCATACCGAAATGTTGAACATGATTACCAGTCGTATCAGAATGAAGGACGTCGCGGCCACAGAGTGTCTGAAAAGATATTGGGAGCGGACAAGAGCTGTTTGTGTGGGTTTCGACTTGATCGCTCCGAAGAGTATTCAACTGCCCGTTTTGCGTGTTAACGCTACCCGGATAGAAATAAAAAGCTGAGGGATTATCTTGATATTGTGCATGATTGCCTGTATAATTTTCGGTATTTCTGGTATTTCTGTATTCCATGGAATTCATAGACGTCATATCGACGTTATGAAAGAGAGGAAAGGAGGCAGCAAAAGGACGGAAACCCTGAGTATGAGATTGTCCGAGCAAATTAGTAGGCATTTGCGTTGGAGGATTGGTGCTATCAACGAAGTCCTTCGGGTAACATGGTTGGTAGTGGACGTTAGTATAGTGTCCGACATAATCGTTGTTTATATTATTCATATTCAGTTTGCTCGTGTATTAGGAAGAGAAGAGTGAATGGCAAAAGATATTGTTGTTCTGGATGAGAAGGAAGTCTTTAAGTTTTACGATTGAGATTTAATATTTGCCCGCACTCGTAGTGATATATAAGACCCGGAGTTGAAAATATTTCCAAAAAAGTTAATTACAGTCGACCCTCTCTATAGTCACCCCCTCTATAAGCACATTTTCAACAAAAGTTGCATTGTTTCCGACAGTGTGACTATAGAGAGGTTGTTTTCCGGAGTTTTAAAAGTCGTTACGCAATGTAGGACATTCCTTTATTTGTAACACATCGAGGGCGTAGCGTATTAAGTGACATGATGCTCCCAACACACGTCGTACAGCACATAGGGTTTCTATTTATGACAAACGGGAAAGCAGTAAAGATCAACAGAATCATGTGATAAAAAGATTTTAATTAAACCATTTATTCTTGTTATTAAGTAAAATATTCCTGTAGACTCGCTTGTCTTAGAGAATCAGACTTGCTTTTTTTTTATCTGACGTTGTAAATCTTTTATACCTGACAATACAGAGCTATTCAATAAACTCTGGATACTTTCTAAAGCTATCTTATTGGACGTTTATCTTCATCTGTTCGTATGATCTAATGGTGTGTTTGTTTCTTTAACGTATGATCTAATGACATGTTGTTTCTTTAATCGTACGATTTAATTGCTGGTTGTACTGTTTAGAACAATCGTATACGAATTGTGATCAACCAGTTAAAATTGAAGAAATTGTACGTATTACAAAATATCACGTGGGCCGGCTTATAAAATTTCGCTTCCCCGAATCAGTCCCATTAGATTGTACTGTTAGCTGATTATGGCCGGTGCCACTCGTATCGATATAAAGAGGTTTGACTGTAATTATCCTAAATTTCTTTCTCACATTCGAACTAAGCTAACATTTCGTCAATGTCAGCAGCTGGTACCATTCCTCTACTTTCGTAAGAAAATGCCTGGGCTCGTTTTTTATGATAGAGCTGTTAAATGAAAGTGATGCTCGCGTGGGTATTGGCGTAAAATAGATGGATTGTTGATCGTACGGAAATGTTGAAAATGATTCTGTTGGACTGTTGTTCATCATATCGAAACTATGGACGGAGGAGCCACAGAGTGTTTGAAAAGATACTGGGAGCGGATAAGAACTGTTTGCGTGAGTCTCGACTTGATTGTGACTCGGTGGGTTCAAAAACCCATTCATTGTGTTAAGGTTACCCAGATGGATATAGGATTACTTTGATATCCAGTGAGTATGAGATTGGGTTTGCAAATTAACTTGTCTATCTGTCAAAAACGGAAATTTTTGCGTTAGTGTATGTAAATTAAATACGAATTACTAATCTCATAATAGCAACTAGTATTTAGAGCCATACCCATAATAACCTCGAAGTACACCTTTAGCGTTCAATCGTAGGTGTAACTAATAAAGGAATGCAAAACTCCATAATAACCTCGAGTACGCTCTTCTCTCATAACAACGTATTCGTGGCTTGTGGGCATTTGTGTAAACACACCAAGATGTTGAAAGCTATTATCTGTTGGACCGTCGTTCGTCGTATCAGAATGAGGGATGGAGAGGCCACATAGTGTCTGAAAAGATACTGGGAGCGGACTTGCGTGGGTATCGACTTGGTCGTGACTCGGTGGATTCAACTGTTCATTCATTGTGTTAACGTTACCCTGATGAGCATATTTTGGGATTTCCTTGATAGGATGCATAATCGCTTGTATAAGTTCCGGTATCGACATTATCGGAAAGGTAGCAGGAGGGAGGAAATCTCGAATATGATCATTCCCATCTACTCAAGGATGATACCGCTTTCCGTCTAGTCGCTTCGGATAGACTACCCTGTTTGCATACATCCTCGCAAAACAAGTACGTCATACGGCGGACCGAAATTCGCTCATGGCTTACTTAATATTCTGTGGAATAATAAACAAATAATAAATAGCGTTAGACTTTTTCGAATACGAAATCTTTTTTACAAAGTAAAACTTTACCAAAATAATTAAGCTCCTTCCACCTTATGATTATCATGCCATTAATAAATATAAATAAGACTTCTAATAAAGTTTTGCTGTATGATTCTAATATGATTTACGCTTGCTTCGGGGATATAAACTAAGATATAGCGTTTCAATAGTAAGATCTTGTCGTTCTCTTGGTTTTTTAGCAACGTTTGACATTTCCACTGGTTCATCTATTTATGTATTTACTTACTTGCTCCAAAACTTCTTGGCTTGTCTTACCACCTTTCTTCTGTAGGCATATCAAATTATACTCTTGTTAATCACAGCGCGTGCTGACATAACCAAACAAAGCAAATCATCAACATATTCTAACACAGTCGCTTTATATATAGAAATGGCATAATGTGTTGTGTAATACGGGTGATATACAGTTAACGAGGTACTCCAATAATAGATCACTATAAGTCGGGAGGATACAACTGAGGTAAAGTTATCTATATGGGAAAGTTGGGGTTGGAATACATCTATTGTAATATAGTACGTAAGAAAACTTACCCTCTAGGGTCACTCGCTGTACGCTGATATCATATTGCTTGCTATCGATATCATCACTATCATAGAGATCAGTTTAATTAAATTATACGCGTGGCTTATCGGACTTGTTAACCAGTGAAAAATATTTTACCAGAATATTACATGATACTATTACGGAAACAATCGTGACAGATGTGATGATGTGCTACACTAGGCAATATACGTATGCTTTACTATTGGTTGGTAGTCGCAGACTCACCTCCTTATTGCATAGTATATCCTTGCTTTACCTTCCGTCATCTAACACGCGAAACAATATCGCACGGGCGCTTTTGTTATTGATATTATCACTATCATAGGAATCAGTTTAATTAAATTTATACGCGTGACTTGTCGGACTTGTTAACCAGTGAAAATTATTTTACTGCGACTGTCACAATGTAACATTCCGGAGCACATGTAATGATACTAGGCAATATATCGATACCGCTTATGCTTTACTATTGGTTGACAGTGATTGTTGTGGCTGACTCTCACACCCCTTATTGCGTAAATCATTTATACTTATAAGGTCGCGCACGATTAACACGCGAACACGCGCCTACTCATACATATATATACCCTGTCGCTCCTCTCCATGGCACACACAAGTCTGCTTCTCCGTTGTTAACAAGTTTCCCGACACATGATCTCGCTCTTTGACAACTCGCTCTATACTAGGATTGCTTTTGACATAACAAAATAGTTACTTCGTTAATATTCTAATCGCCGCGCTAAGTCTACTCAACGTATTCGCCAGCCAACGCCAACCAAGCGATCTATGTATTCCGATCAACTATCAACCTGAAGAAAATGTGGTAGTGAGGAAAGCGGCGAAACCGTGAAGGAAGAGGAACAGTTGCGGCAATATTTTGAGGGTGGTGAACATAGACATAGTTTTTATCTCAAAACTGAAGACACTTGGTATATGTATTTTACTGATTGGAGAACATTGGAGGATGGTACAATGATGGTTTGCAACACAGTCAGTAATATTTCACAAAATTATATTCTTCGAAGGATTGAGAAACATCAGGAGGTCTTAGGATCCGACGCCCCACCCTCATACGCAACTTGGAGATACTCAAATCTCGTTGCATTAGAACTGAAGAAAACTCATTGAAAACCATTGGCTTAATTCAGTCTTGGAAGTGGAGTTACAGCAGCCGATGTCTTAGGATCCGACGCTCTCACCTTCATACGCAACTTGGAGATACTCAAACCTCGTTGCTTTAGAACTGAAAACCTCATTAAAAACATTGGCTTAATTCAGTCTTAATTGCACAACTATTATATACAGTACATAGTAAGGCAATAGTACAAACTAAGCCCCTGGTTGGTGAACACACCTATGCAAAAGATAAATCACTCTCCTACTCCCACAACCCCATTTATTTCCTGACTGTAACAATATCATTATTATTGTAAGTATTAAGTACATATGAATTTTTTGTCATATATATAATTTATATAAAATAACCACTATTATAACTAGCGGAACTTATATAGAGTAGAGGATTTAGAGTATAGTCTAGAGCTGGGAACGAAGGGCCGAAGAGCAAACTGCTGAGTAGTTCAGGATGATGCAGCTCTACCGAAATCTAAGTCTGAAACATTACTGAAGTAGTTAGAAAAAGTACAAATAAATATGCTGTCCGGCTTAAAATTGAAATCTTTCGGGAAAGATGATTGACAGACGTTGTTAACATAATCATTATATCACTTTTGATTAGCGCAGCCCACTTGAAATAAGTATTCGAGTCCCTTGGTTCAAACCAGTTTTTATTTGCCTTCAAAGATTCAAGTCGATTGACTCGACAATTCTGGCAAAGTTTTAATCTTCTTTGACCAACAATCAGACGTGTATTTGTAGATTTAGTCGACTTCAGTATTTATTTTGTAAATGACTGACAATTAACGGAAATGACGCATACTTTACATTATATGTCTACATATAAAATAATATTATGTAAACTGCGGTTTATCTGTATATTGTAATCGGCCATTGTATAGTTTAATACAGGTGATAATAAAGCAAGCTAGTAAAATGTGAACATTCTTACGTGGCCCGAAAATTGAGGATATCGCTCGACTTGGACTGACAGCATGCCTCGGGATCGAAATTCATTTTCTCGCGTAAGTGTCCGCGGAAAGCGCAGCGGATAGAACAATCCGTTATCTCTCTTTCTTCTAATAGCTAAATTTTGATCAAAATAATACAAAATGCACTTCTAAATCAAATTTAGTCTAAAGTTCCAAATTCTCAAGCTGATCATAGCTCAACAAGTCAGTTCTCTTAACGCCTATATGATCATTTCTATCAAATTAATAATATTTAGCATTGATGGTCTATAATTAAAAAAAATGTCTTTTTGTAACGGATAACCATATCCCAACATAACCAGCCACTGTCAACAGCATTCTCTTTAAGACTCTTGACTTCTGAATGACTTAATTAAAGAATTGTAGTTATTACCGGAACCAGATACTAAATAAGTGAAAGACGATACGATCAAACGTGTTGCAAATAAAAAATAGTTAATTGAATAGCCATAGTAGATATTGTTAATCTTCAATCTTCACGCTCTTATTCTCATTCTCATCTTCCAACTATGTTGACTTAGTTCGAAACACTCTCTTCTCTGCCTATTTTGCTTCAAACACCTCCCTTCATCCTCCTTCCCACTTTATAGTTCTTCTCTTACCCAGCACTGCTCTCCAGAAACTTCAAGACAACGTTCTTCAAATACTCAATACTCATGTCTTGTCTTTTTTCCATCCGATCCATTCTCCTAATCTCTTTTCTTGTTTTTCGAGCACCGTAGCTTAACTATCATTCAAAAGTTCAGCAAGGTGTTGAATCTTTAATGCTTGTTCTTTTTCACGCTCTTGAGAAGAAACCTATTTGGTTCTGTGTCTGAACAAAGAAGGTCCGAAAGTAACAAAAATGAAAACAGAGTCCATAAATAACGCGAGAGTACAACACAAATTTGTGTCAGTGTTGATAAACGTATATTTGAAAAACTAGCAACAAAACCTCCAACTTTTCAAACCGTTAGTCCCCCCTCGCTATAAAGAACTTACAATATATCGCGCCCATTCGTGATCGAAGGTGAAGCTGGTCCCTGACGTTACTTCGTGATAATAATTGCTGTTCGGTGCGCTCGGCAAGCTGTGCGCAAAGGATGGAGAGTTCTTCGTCCAGGTGTTAGACATATTGACGAGTATGGGAGAGGGAAGCAATGTGCTCCTCACATGAAACCACAATCGTAATCATCTTTCACCCAATCATTGATTTCTTTTTCTTTGAACTTGACCAGACTTTGCAATGGTTTTGGCTGTGGCACGAATGATGCTATTAGCGTTTCTAACGCCGTCGGTACCTTTAATATATGAGAGTGAACCGTAATTTTACAATTAGGTATTATCAATGACACAAGCATATTAGATCGAATATTACGATTCTGGAATTAGGCAATTTCCCAACACTCCTTATATATTGTCTTTTTTCCCAACATTCCATACAATTTACCTTATTCAACATTTTCGTCATCAATATACTCAAAGTATGGAGCACTCTATTTCTGTCGTCGGTTACTTTTTGCACCAAAAACCAGTTCTGTGGGAGTAGTCTACTATATAGCGAGTCTACGGAATTGCCGTGACATGAAAGCAATGGGTAAAAGTTTAATTTGCAGACTTTATATAAGTAGAAGAGTGCGCTTGATGCAATGGTACTGACTTGACACATATAAGTCACGATGGGGGAGTTATCGGCCACTGTCTGTAAACTAAGAAACGCTATGGCGACAGCCAAGTCATGTTTGTAATGTTCAAAACCGTTGTGACACAATCATATAGATACCAAGTCATGTTTGTAATATTTCATTGTTCAAAACCGAACAGAATGTTGAAGAATCTATGTATGAATTGTACATAAGCAAGCAGTGCATATTTAGATTATTATACTTGAAAGGGATAATAAAAAGTGATATGTCGCAGACGAATATAGTTTAGCGTTGTCGATGTTAATATGAATAGTTATAATTGTCCGCACAAACGGAACAAGGAATTGGGACGCGATAAAAGATTTCATCCTGATCAAGCAGGACGTTTAAGCTTTAATACTTATGGTCAGTCAGCAGTCCCAAGAATAATTACAGAATATGTAGTAGCGTCAAAGCAGTCCTATTAAGAGCAAAATT